GAATGAACGAATGAATGAATGCACGAACGAACGAACGAACAAACGAACGAACAAATGAGCGAACTAACAGACGAATGGATGGATGCGGAATGAATGATTTTGTATTACACCGAATTGTCACGTGGCCAAGTGTTTTTGATTTCTTCAACAAGTGGCTGGTTTTCCAGGAAGCTGAAAGTGCTCACTTTACCCCATCTCTCCATTAGTGCTCTGTCTGAAAAGTATTCAAAGCTGGAGCTACACGGATCAGAGATAATTCGAAACAAGTGCGCGATCGGTATTAGATCAGGATGATTCTAATCTGGCAGGGCACGTACCACTGTGCTACTTCGATGATACGGCGGCAGCTATCTTTGATCGCAAGGCATTATGGGGTATCCAGGGGAAAGTTTTGTTACAGTAATAACAGTAATATCGTAGATTGATATTAACAGCTCTTCACTAGAGAATACCACAAATGTTGAATTAATCTTTACCCATAAAAGAAAGACACACGTACTCTAAATACTTTCCGTCATCTTTGTCACTGTTTTGCCCCCTTGCAAGATGGCCGCCATATCAACGAAGCAGTCCATTCAGCCACACTTGTTCCTAGGGATTAAAGATGTGTTCGCCAGTTAATTTCGCTCGAGAAGAAACACTAATATGGATGCAGCTAAGGCTGCGTTCATAATGTATGGCAGAGGGGGGGCAGGTGAAATTGAAGGGGGATCGGGAATCTTTTGGTAGGAAAAAGGGGGGATGAGCAAATTTTTATCAGAAAAAGGGGGGGGATGCACAATTGTTGGAAGAAGCTACAAGCCTTGCTTATGCCAACCATGTATCATTCTCTTGAGAATACGAGTGCTCGTTTGTGTTGTATCCATATTTATGTGTCTTCTCATAGACGATCATTAAACAAAGAAATAATAATCTGGGGAACGACAAGTGGTCTGAAATGGTAAAAAACATTATGTCAAAGCTGAAAGTGAGCTAGTTGAGCCACAGGCAGCAAAACAATGTTCCTGTGTATGGTTTATAAGGGAATGTATTGAGATATGATGAAGATACAACATTAAAATGTTTCACTCAATAATTTGCTTCAAAACTCGCTGCAGTCGTTGCTTGACTAAACGGCCCCAATCGCGCTGGAACTTCGCCAGAAGACTGAACACGATTCAAGCAACGACTGCTGCAAGTTTTGAAGCAAATTATTGAGTGAAACATTTTATTGTTGCATCTTCATCATATCTGACATGCATTTCCTTATAAGCCATACACAGAAACCTTGTTGTGTGCATAGAACATTGAATGTAGTAAGTGGCTGTGTGAGTAAAAAGTGTCCCCCTGAATTAGTGCGAAAGTGCTATAGAACGACTAGACATTTGAATATAAAGATTTATTTTATCTTTCCATTTCCCTCTACATATAAAAAACATCTATTGTTATTTATCAAATTCTGGCAATATTTACAATATATATTGTAGGGCGTAATTCAGTACACGATTCCATAGTTCATACGACCGCCTGCAGCGATAAAAGTCGGTTTATCTTTCCTCCTTTCAGTTCCGCGGTTTCAATTAGTACATAAAGAGTTTGTTTTACACAATGAATCCTTTTAGCTGGAGTGCGTAAACTTTGGACAGCTAGTTTGGCTGTCAGTCAAAACAATTAAATTACTTTATGCTTGTACTAATTAGCTTCTGCATAATCCGAAACGATGACACAGCTGGGATGTTTGTTTTTTGTTTTTGTTGTTTGTTTTTGTTTTTTGTTTTTTGTTTTTTTTTTTTCTTTTTTGAATTTTTGACCGAATATTATCATTCGTTGGGCGTATTTCTATGGCTTGTTTGCTGTATGTTCTCATTGAAAAATCCGGCCGCGGAAAAAGGAATTAGTCTGATCCCAGTTTGAGTTTTGTTATTATATATTCAAAAATAATATACACAGTAGATAGTAACATATCGTGCTGATTAACACTTACGCCTGTACGTGTTTGATGTCATATGGCGAGGGAGCGATCATAGAAATAATGAATCATGAAATATATGAATTTTCTTCTATCTTGCAAGGTTTTGAATTCACAATCTTGTGTTTCTCTTTATTTTTTCTGTTTTTCACGCTATTTTCTAAGCAAATTGAAATGTTGTTTCAGTTGTTCTTCGTACTAATTGGCAAACACAGGAGGTCAGAGATGCTTGCGAAGCTATAGGCAAATCAACAGTTTTGTTTTTGAACGTTTTTTTTCCCCTTATACGGCTCGAAGGGTTCTTATCCCGAATCTCCGATTTTCCTCCCTCTATAATGACAAGCACTTCAAACTAGACCCTTTGCGCTGAGTCCCGAGAGGAATCGTTCTAGGGGGAAAAGCAATGCATTTTTGCATAAGAAAAGACGGCCTATTTTTTGTTCCCCAGAGCAATTCTCTAGCAAATTGATGCAACTAGGGGTCTATTACGCCCCGATTAAAGGTCCATTTTCTGCGAAACCAGAATAGAATTWTTTTTTTTTTCTATTATTTTTTTTCTTCGCTTTTTTTCTTCTAATTGGTAAAGGATCTCATCCGAGGTTTTAAATAAATATTTATTTTGGTACGATATTTTGTCATTTTTAAAGATTAATGTAAAATGCCTTCTGGCTGAAGGAGTATATTATCCTAATTAGCTCGTTGGAGTCTTCCAAACGATCGTAGTAGTGGGGAAATAAAAAATTAAGGGGGGGGGGGAGCGTGTTTATTATTGTCACTAGTAACAATGATCTTCAATATAGAATGAAAAAAATACGGAAATAAATAACGGAATTCCGAGTAAGATTATGATAAAGTGTCAAGTTTTTTCTGGTCTTCATGCCTTCAGGCACGTTGCTTCCAAGTCACACTGCCTACTACAATCCCTTGCATGACTGATGTATTTCTTAATGTTAGTTCTACTTTAGGAGGTTTACCAGAGAGATGTTGGAAATCGCTAGGGGCAGCGAAGTTTATTGAATAGAAGTTAGTGTATTTTTTCCCTCCATCCCTCCATTCCTTCCATCCCTCCATCTTTCCATCCCTCCATCCCTCCATCCCTCCTTCCCTCCATCCCTGCTTCTCCATACCTACATCCCTCTATCCCTGCTTCCTTCCATCCTCCCATCCTCAGGGACGGCGGAGCATTTTTTTGATTGGGGGGGGGGGCTCAATAGTGACATTGTATGGCAAGGTGGGGGGGGGGGCTGAGTTTAGTGAAAATGTATTAAAATTTC